TAATTAATTTTGAGACAAAATCTTGCTCTGTTGTCCAGGCTGGAGTGCAATAGCACAATCTCAGCTCACTGCAGCCTCCACCTCCTGCATTCAAGTGATTCTCCGGCCTCAGCCTCCCGAGCAGCTGGGATTAGAGGCACATGCCACCATGCCCAGCTAATTTTTGTATTTTTAGTAGATGGGATTTCACCGTGTTGGCCAGCCTGTTCTCAAACTCCTGACCTCAAGTGATCCACCTGCCTTGGGCCTCCCAAAGTGCTGGGATTACGGGTGTGAGCCACCACGCTCAGCCCAGGCCACCCTCTCTGCTGGAGAGCTGTGGTCTGTAGGCATCTTCTCTCTCTACTCAGTACTATGCAAATGGACCTGGAAGACAGACACCTGGGGGCTCACAGACAGTCCCTGAGCACCCCTGTTTTTCCTGCTAAGCCTTTGCATAGTTCTCATCTAGAAAACCCAGTCCATATTTCTTTTCTTTTTTTTTTAAATTTTAGTATTTTTCTTCTTTTTATATAGTGATGGGGTATCACTATGTTGCCCAGGCTGGTCTTGAACTCCTGGGCTCAAGCAGTCCTCCCACCTTGACCTCCCAAAGTGCTGAGATTATAGGTGTGAGTCACTGTGCCTGGCCTGTATTTATTTTTATCTTAAGCATGTAGATCACTCAAGTTGAAAATACCCTTCCCAGTATTTTTCAAGGGCCGGCAGCTACAGAGTGGCTCAACAGATTTATGATGGGAAGGTTGGAGAATACGAAGTTCGAGTTGAGGTGAATATGAAAAGAAACATTTGGACGAGGTTGGGAGTATTTTGGCCCTGAGACAGTCAGCCCATGTTGAAAGACTCAAAACAGAAGGCCATGTGTGCCTGTGCTTACATCAAGATAAGAAGCTTAAGTTTTGTTGGGACCTCATGAACCTCTCATCATGCTGTTCTGGAAGAAATGTACAATGAAAGAAACTTTAGAGTTGGAGGCAGAAGACCCAACTTCATATTTCTTGATTGGCAGCTGTGACCATAGGGAAATTACTTCCTTTCCTGAGCCTCTGTTCCCCATGTGTTAAACTGCGGTACACCTCTCAGGTGTGTGAGGAGGAGTAGAGGAGATGGTGTTTGTAAAGTGTTTGGCACAGATAGCCTGGTGGCTCCTTTAGCCCTATTGGAGTTATTACATCTGTTTGCCTTTTTAGTCTTTTATTTTATTTAGGACATTTACTAAAATGATGTCAGGCACAACATCTTATTCTTGAGCACAATGACCAAATAGATCCTGGCTGGGTCAGAGTTGGTCTGTGAATTAGTCAAGGTTCTCCAGATAAACAAAACAGTAGGGTGTGTGTAGGTTTGTGTGAGTATGGGTGTATGCGTGTGTAGAGGAATTGGTCATGTCATTGAGCAAGTCCAAAATCTTCAGGTGCCCTTGTTGCAGGCCAAGAGGGGATTCTACCTTTAGACTGCCTTTAGACTTGAGCTGTGACATCAACTCCTCCCTGGGTCTCTCAGCCTATTGGCCTGCCTACTGGCTGAGAGACCCAGAGAAGAGTCAGGGTTGCAATCCAAATCTAAAGGCAGTCTGGACGTAGAATCCCCTCTTGCTCAGAGGACATCAGTCTTTCAAAGCCTTCAACTGATTGGATGAGACCCACCTACATTATGGAGGATGATCTGCTTTACTCGAAGTCTACTGATTTAGCTGTCAGTCTCATCTAAAATATTCCTTTGCAGCAATATCTGGACTCTAGCGTTTGACCAAATATCTGGGTATTGTGCCCCAGTGAAGTTGACACATAAAATCAGCCATCCTAGCCTGTAAGCAGGCCTTGCCATATGATCAGTGGGAATGAGTCATCTGAGGGAGGAGGCAGCTCACCTGTGGCCAGGGTCAAAGAGAGCAACACATCAGCTTGAATAAACATCTGCAAGGGCTCAAAGCTAATGCACCCTACTTGGGATATCACCACAAATCAAGACTGTATGCCTGCCTTGGAAGAATCATTGCATCCCTTCCTGCGTCCCCCGGGTCCTGGTAAGAAATCTTCCTGAGAAATGGAGGTTTTGTCCTTTCCTCTGAATCCTGAAATAACTGCAGAGTGAGACAGACACACTGGCATGGACACTTCCAGAGAGATGATGGTTTTTGAGACCCAGAAGTGAAATAAGATTCCGAGCCTAAGGAGAGGCCCCAAGTTTGTCTCCAGAGCCTTCTACCTATAAATCAAGCCCACATTCACTTCTTGATCTTGGGAACAGTGGGAGACAGGGTCTGTGGTTATCTCCACTGCATCACTGGAGTCTTGTATCCCTTTCCCAGAGCTTTGTGCTTGTAATCATCCAGTCATCTGTTTCGAAATTAGAAATCTCACATACTTGAGCAGTGAAGTTTAAAGGGTGAAGTCAACTCAAGTTGTCAGAAACATGGGACAAAATAAATGTGGTGTTGGCTCTATAGAGAAGGGGGAAGGCCACAGAGGACTCAATAGTGCCTGCTAACCCATGACTTGCTGCCAGTCCTGCTGTGGTGGCACTGTAATTCATAATCGCTAACTGCTTTGGAGACTTTATTATGTGCTAGGCACTGTGTTGAGCTCTTTACATGCTTTTCTCACTTACTCTTTCCATTGGTTCTTTGCAGTAGAGACTGTTTCTCATCCCACTTTTACAATCAAGGGGACGAAGCTCTGAGAGGTAAAGTTACTTGGCCAGGCCACATAGACAGTAACTGGTGGAAGCAAGCATTCAGCCAGGCTGATTCAAAGCCCGGGCTCCCAAGCACCCTATAGGATGGTGGTTTACTATAGCTAGACCCCACACTCGGAATATCTGAATATATGGAAGGCAAGACCAAAAAGGAAGAGCATGCACCTTCTGAACGTCGGAAGCCCTAGATACTCCCAGTGCCATTTGAAGGAGCTATGAAGGGACCTGAAATTACCATTTGGAAGGGTAAGGCACAGAGGAGTGAGTTACGTAGGAACTTAAAAAAATAGTTGGAGAATGCTTGTGCAAGGACCATGGAGGCTGTGGCAGGGGCAGAGGCAGATACTTCTCTTTGCCTCGAAAGCAATATTATGTGTTTAATTTCAATTAAATGTCACAGGTCTTTACTGTGGCATGAGAAACACTTGTGTCAACATTCCCCAGTGCTTATGCAGAAAGTGAATGGGGGCAAAACTGGTTCTGTGTGTGCTGGAAATGAAAACTGATGAGGTGCTCAGAGGCAGGAAAGTTCAGATCAAGAGCCAATTCTGCACGGTGATTTACCAAAGCGCCTTACCGCAATGTGGCTTCCTGTTGTTAAATCTCATGAAAGTGGGCATTTCAGTCACCTACGGTTTCTAGACGTAGTACCCGAATTTCTCTGAGGAAATTCCACTCCCTCAGACCCTCACCCACGGCAAACCCAAACAAAACCCACAATTACAAGCTCAGCGCCACCCTGAGACCTCAGAATCGTGCACGGCAAGTTAGAGCTTTATTAATCGAGTGACTTTTGCCTTACTCTGTGGGAGTTGTTAATTAAAACCACTCAACCATTGAGAGAGACGGAGAGAGACAGAGATTGAGGACAGCTAACAGACTGGATTTTCTCACTCCTTTGCAAGCTGGTGTAGCTATTTTAGAAACTGACACGGACTTTACAGTTGGCTAAACCATGCACCAGATTTGTATGTGAGGCTCCTTGGGAACAGCTTTCATTTAATGCCCTGCAGCCAGGCCCTCCGGGTACAAAGAACCTGCCTAGCCTCTAACCAAGTATATAGAACAGTTAATAACAATGACCATTGTAATAATATTAACACGACCAGCTGCTGTTTATTGAGCACTTTTAAATGCCAGACACTGTGCTTTATATACATTATCTCTTTTCATCCTCAATTTTTTTTTTTTTTTTTATGAGACAGGAGCTTAAGAGCTCTGTTGTGCAAGCTGGAGTGCATTAGCATGATCATAGCTCACTGAAACCTCGAATTCCTGGGCTCAAGCAATCCTTCTGCCTCAGCCTCTTGAGTAACTAGGGCTATAGGCACGTATCACCACACCCAGCTAATTTTTTTTAAAACATTTTTTGTAGAAATGATGTCTTGCTATGTTGTCCAGGCTGGTATCAAACTCCTAGCCTTAAGCGATCCTCCTGTCTTAGCCTCCCCAAATGTTGGGATTACAGGCATGAGCCACTACAGCTGGCCTCTTTCTACTTTTTTTTTTTCTTTTTTTTTTTTTTTTGAGATGGAGCTTCACTCTTGTTTCCCAGGCTGGAGTGCAATGGTGCAATCTCGGCTCACCACAACCTCCGCCTCCCAGGTTCAAGGGATTCTCCTGCCTCAGCCTCCTGAGTAGCTGGGATTACAGGCATATGCCACCATGCCTGGCTAGTTTTGTATTTTTAGTAGAGACGGGGCTTCTCCATGTTGGTCAGGCTGGTCTCGAACTCCTGACTTAAGGTGATCCACCTGCCTCAGCCTTCTAACGTGCTAGGATTACAGGTGTGAGCCACTGGACCTGGCCTCCTACTTTAATCTCTGTGTTCTAGGAACTCCTCTTCCCATTCTCCTGATGAGGACACAGGGATTTGGGGGGTACACTGGTAACTTGCCCAAGGTTGCAGAGGTGGTGAGCTAGGGAGCTGGGACTCAAACTTGGACAACCTGACTTCAGAGCCTGAATTCAACCACTCATTTCAGTACTTTCACTGACGCTGTGTACACATGTCTAAAATGTAATTGCTCTTCTTCCCCCCAAATCTGTTTTTCTTCTGTTTCCACCATCCATTTTTTTTTCCCCACAACCAGAACCCAGAATCTTAGACTCTTTCATTCCCTTATTCGTGGAATGCCAGTCACTGAGTTTGATGGATTCCATTTCTTGAGTGTCTCTTACTATGGTTTTTCTCTCATCTTGCCGCTCATATTTCTCACCCAGATGATGACAATTCATCCTTTCACCAATTTCCTTTCCTTTGATCCCAGTGCCCATCCCAACAAACCCATTCCACACATTGGTGAGAGAGCTCTTCCTAGAGCACAAATCTGATTATATTTTCTGCTTACATTCCTCAGTGGCTCTTCACTGCCTGTTCAGTAAACTCTGTTTTAGTTACTGTTTCTGTAAAACAAATTACTCTGTAATTTAGCTTCTTGAAACTACCATGTCATTATGTTCACGGGGTCTCTGCACCAGGAATTGGAACAAGATACGGCAGAGATGGCATGTGTCTGGTCTGCCATGTCTGGAGCCTCGGCTTGCAAAACACCAGGGCTAGCATTGACTTGATAGCTGAAGGCTAGAGTTACTCCAAAGTTTGTTCACTCCCACGTCTCACTCCTGGGCTGGGATGACTTGAAGGTTAAGATGACTGCAGCCTCTCCACATGGCTTGGCTTCCTGGGGATTGGCAAACTTCTTACATGGAGCTCAGGGCTCAAGGGCAAAGGGTACAGTGAACAATGCAGAAGCTGCCTCACCTTTTATCATCTAGCCTTGGAAGGCGGAGACTGTCCCTTCTGCCATACTGTATTGGTCAAAGCAGTCATGAGCCCTCCAGATTCGAGAGGAAGGTGCATCCTTCCTGTCAGTGGGAGGATGGCAAGGTCACCTTGCATGTGGGATCAGAGATGTTGCTGTGATCATCTGTGGCAAATACAGTTCACAACAATATATCCCCATACCACCCAGCGTGATATGCAAGGCCCTCCCCCCATAGTCTCACATTAGAGTGTCTGTTCCGTGGAGACACAAGCCTTGTCTTTCTTGGACATTGTGTATCCCTGGTGCCTAGCACAGAGCATGGCTCATCATGGGCTGTCCTTTTGCATTTGAGACGCTAACAAATGATCGACTTACCCAGCCTCATTTCTTCATTTCCTGCCATCTCCTTCATCCCCTCCCTGACCACCCATCCTCTCCCCTCTCCAGCTGCCATCCTGTTCCTGCCACTCTGAACCACAGACATTTTCCTTGATACGGATGCCTTTGCATGAGTCTGCTCTGTCCATAAACTCCTCCCCATCAATTACCACCCACCTGCCACAGTCCTTCAAGAGTCTACTGCAGCTAGGAAGCCTCCACTGATGCACGTTGATGGACATTAATAGTCTCCTTCCTCTGAGTTTCCAAACACCTGGTAACACCTCCCAGATGGCTTCTCTTAGGTTCTGTGGGCTTGTTTGTCACCCAGGCCAGAATATCCTTGAACAGAGGCATTGTGTCTTTTTACTCTCTCACATTTCCAACTTCTTCTACCAGACCTGTTGTGTATGCTTGGTAATATGAGTGAAATGAAAAGAGAGAGAAAGGGGGTGATAGAAGGAGCAGTTCTGCTGCTGCTATTAATAATACAGCTCATGTTCATTGAGTACTTTTCACGCGGCAGGTACTTTTCAGGCATTATCTCATTGAATTCTTGTAGAAATCCTGGAAGGCCTACAACATGCGATTGTCCCCATCTTACAGATGTGGAAACTGAGGATGAGAGAAGTCACTTGTCCAAGGTCATACAGCTACTAAAGGGTGCGACCAGTTTCAGGAAGCTTGAGAACCAAGCCTGTTCTCTTGGTGCTGCCACCTGCTGCCCTTTAGGCTCTGTAGACCTGAGGATTTTCTTACCTTTCCTTAGAGCTCTACAAAGCCTAACTTTCAACTGGATTCATAGGATAAGAATATGGGAGGCAACAGATTTTCTGCTAGCTAGACAATATCAAGCTCTGTTTTATTCTTGGTGCTAGGTTTTAAGGGGTTCAGAATGAGGCAGAGGTTCTTTTAGGAATGGATAACAAGGAAGGTACAGGATTCAAACCCCAAAACATAATAGAAATGTTTGTAGAAAGTACAAATATTGGCTTGGCATGGAAAGTACTTAGAAAAGCAGTAGGTTCCAGTGGACCAGACTTGAACCATAGATAGAAGTTAGACTTAGGTTTTGTATTGCCTAGACACCAAGTGACCATTAATCAACATAAGGAAAAACGTGCCCAAAATTACACCTGTCAAAACTAGAGGCAGTTTTGCAAGGACATGAGCCCTGTCACTCACTGTTCCTGGGAATATTCACTCAGAATCTGGAAAACTGTGTAACCCAGATATTACAGAAGGGGTTCCTGCATGAGGTGAGAAGGAGTCAGAGAGCTGATCTCTCAAAGGTCTTTCAGTTGTATAATTCAGGGTGTCCAGATTCCCATAGGAATCATTAGGGCTCAATTATAGACAGAGCAGACTGGGTATTGTATTCTGGAGATAAGGGTCTCCTTGGAATGCCAGGTTTCCACAGGTCATGCCAGCCTGGGGGCAATAGCAGAGGCACCAAAGATGTTTCTTCTGAAAAATGTTTAACCCATGCCTCCTTCTAATAAATACAAAAAGTGTGCACATCTCCCTCCTACCCCAGGTTCTGATCTGGAAGATAAGGAAGTGGACTGTGGCTGCGGTCCAGATAAGAGAGTATGAGGACCACTGGAAACACAGTGTCCGCACACTGGCTGAGACGTTCATGACCTTTACTACCTAGAGTTTGTATGGTGAAAACAATAAGGTTTTTGTTTGGTTTTTTTTTTGAGACAGAGTTTCACTCTTGTTGCCCAGGCTGGAGTGCAATGGCACGATCTCGGCTCACTGCAACCTCTGCCTCCCAGGTTCAAGCTATTCTTCTGCCTCAGCCTCCCGAGTAGCTGGGATTATAGGCACCCCGCTAATTTTTTGTATTTTTTTAGGAGAGATGGGGTTTCACCGTGTTGGCCAGGCTCCCTCATGCCCAGGTTACCTCCAGAGCTCTCAAACTCCTGACCTCAGGTGATCCACCCACCTTGGCCTCCCAGAATGCTGGAATTATAGGCATGAGCCACTGTACCCAGCCTTAACAATAGGTCTTTAAAGTGTAAAAATGTTTTACTATTGAATGTGCTTTCTCAATATGCAGAGCCTAGGGAATTCTGCTTTGCCTTCAGTTCCATTTGAATTATAACTTTAGCTTATCTGTCTACCTTCTTGTGGAAGCGGAAGTGTTTGAACAAGTTAAAGAGTGAAAAAAGGTACCCCATTATTTGTTCTGTGTAGTAGTATCAGGCAGCCACTATGACCAGCTCCTGGTGCACTGATAGAAGGTAATTTGAGTGTCCTATAGGCAACTGGCCATAGCTTGCTTTCTACTCTGAAGGTCATTGGCCTGTGTTTCGGCGACTTCTCAGCCTGTCTTTCCCTCCAGAGTGCTCCGACTGCTGCTAGGGTGCCCCTGCCACACCCTGTTCACACCTGCCGTGGCTTCTCCTTGTCCGCAGGCTGGCTGGGTTGCCTGGGTGCTTGGTTCCTTGACTTCTGAGTGTCTCATGCCCAGGTTACCTCCAGAGCTCCAGCAGCTGCCTTCCTACAGGGAGAAGCGTGTTCATCCACACAGTTTGTGCAACACCCTGTCCCTCTTGTGAACACACCTGTGGCACTGTCCTGACCTATACATGTTGAAATTCTAAAAGAGAAACACAGTTCTTTTGCCTTTCAAACTGAGCTCCCCACTATACTGCTTTCACTTTTCTAAGAATCAGATACAATGGGGAAATGAAACTCGCTTCAGCTCAAGTTCAGGATGCCATAGAGTGTGGCAGTAACATTGTTCCCAATATGGTGGACTCTCTGCTGGAGCCATGCTCTCCCTTAAATGAGACCTGGAAGGCCCACATCTTCCTGAAAGTCATTTTTGGACCCTTTCTGTATCAAAGTCTACTATTGATAGTATTTGACTTATTTCTAAAGCAGATGCAAGGATGCATCTCATTTCTCTTTGTATTCTCCAGATGCTTAACACATAAAATATACATACACTATTCCTCCTTTTTCCACAGGAGATATGTTCCAAGACCCTCGGTGGGTGCCTGAAACTGCAGATTGTGCTTAACTCTATATAAACTATGGGGGTTTTTTGTATACAGACATACCTGTGATAAAGTTTAATTTATAAATTCAACACAGTAAGAAATTAACAACAGTTGACCGGGCGCAGTGGCTCACGCCTGTAATCCCAGCACTTTGGGAGACCAAGGCAGGCAGATCACAAGGTCAGGAGATGGAGACCATCCTGGCTAACACGGTGAAACCCTGTCTTTACCAAAAATACAAAAGCAAAATTAGCCGGGCGCAGTGGTGGGCACCTGTAGTCCCAGCTACTCGGGAGGCTGAGGTGGGAGAATGGTGTGAACCCAGGAGGTGGAGCTTGCAGTGAGCCAAGATCGCACCACTGCCTTCCAGCCTGGGCGACAGAGCGAGACTCTGTCTCAAAAAAATAAAATAAATTAACAACAGTAACTAACAATAAAATATAACTGTTGTTATAATATGCTCTAATAAAAGTTACGTGAATGTGGTCTCTCTCTCTCTCTCAAAATATCTTATTGTAACATACTCACCAAATGTCAGACCACAGTTGACTGTGGATGACTAAAACCATGGAATGTGAAACCACAGATAAGGGAGGACTACAGTGAAAGCAGTTCTTTGTTTTTATTGAGACAGAGTCTTGCTCTGTTGCCCCGGGTGGAGTGCAGTGGCATGATCTTGGCTCACTGCAACCTCCACCTCCTGAGTTCAAGTGATTCTCCTGTCTCACCCTCCCAAGTAACTGGGATTACAGGCGTGCACCACCACATATGGTTAATGTTTGTATTTTTGGTAGAGGATTTTCACAATGTTGTCCAGGCTGGTCTTGAACTCCTGGCCTCAAGTGATCCACCTGCCTCGGCCTCCCAAAGTGCTGGGATTACAGACACTGTGCCCACTCCAACAATTTAATTGTTGATTGTTATTTATTCTTTCTTCAGTACATCAAGAAACACTTGGTAGGCACCTATTTTGAGAGTTGAAGGCACAGTTATAGGGACTGCGGATTTTGAAGCAAAAATATTGGTTCTAAAATAATAATAATAGAGCTACCTTTATTGAACTTGTTGGGTGAAGTCTGGAGCACAAGAAACACAAGCCAACAGTTATAATAAATGTGAAATAAAGGAGCCAAGCTTCCATTTTATCATAAAAGACAGAAAAAGGGATTTACTGAACATACAAATACATTTAAATGAAAAAAAACCTTTGTGAATACTTTCTGCTTGTGTTTCCTTGGACAAATCACTCCAATTCTCTGAGTCTTCATTTTGCATCTGAAAAACTGTTAAACCAAATAATCTTTGAAATCCCCCCAGATCTAATATTCTGTATGTAGTTCCGTGAAACTACCTATCATGGATGTTTTTCTTAATGCTCTGTTGCACTGAAAGTGAGGTTTTAGAGTGAACACCTTCTCAGTGTGGTGTCCTCAAGTGGGAGGTGGAGGAGATGAACTAAAAGACATCCTGTAATTTAACATTAATATGTTAGATGAGGCAGAACATCATGGTGTGGGAACGCTACATGCCCTGGTGAAGATAGCACAAGTGTTTTAGTCATTGAAAGCACATCATCTGGTTTCGGGGAGTTTGTGTCATGTCTGGCCCCACAGGCACGTTTTTGAGTAGGACGCACTTTTGCCAACCTTAGTAGAAAAGGACGTTTTTCCATTGCTCACCATGAGAGGGACAGGGGGGTATTTGGTATGTGCCCAGCTGAAGAGGTTAGAGTGGTTGTTCTCTTTTCCTGTGGCCCGTGGTTTGCATAGGGTGCCTTTTCACTGTAGGATTTTATCAAGACTTTCTACCATGGTCTGCCTGCTTTTTAGGGGGCAAGCGGATGGGGTGATGGGTTTGGGACCCATTTTGCAGAGTATAAAAAAGGCGTTTTACACCCCAAAGAGAGAGCTGTGAGATTTCCCTTTCCTTGCTCAGAGCATGGGTGGGCCCCCCTGTAACATCCCAGCCACAGCCTTGTTTGCCCCCATGTAAATGTATCATATGCAACTTTTGTGGATGTACAACACACTTTTGGATAGTTTCTGTTAATACAGAAATCTGGTACTTTAATTGGTTCAAAATCTGAACTCTCCAGGAAGAAAATGACTGGTTTCCATCCTCACATATTTTAACTCAATGTTTTTCAAACTTTTTTCTTTTTTGAGACAGAGTCTCACTCTGTCACCCAGGCTGGAGTGCAGTGGCACGATCTTGGCTCATGCAACCTCCTTCTCCTGGGTTCAAGCAGTTCTCCTGTCTCAGCTTCCCAAGTAGCTGGGATTACCAGCACGTGCCACCACGTCCAGCTAATTTTTGTAATTTTAGTAGAAACGGGGTTTCACCAAGTTGGCTAGGCTAGTCTTGAACTCCTGACCTCAGGTGATCTGCCCGCCTTGGCCTCCCAAAGTGCTGGGATTACAGGCATGAGCCGCCGTGCCTGGCCCAAACTTTTTTCTTTTTAAATGTCATGCCCCCTCCTGAAAGATCTCACACCGTGATTGGGGGTTAAGGAGGTGCAGAGCTGGAGGGTAAAATTAGATGTGGCTTTTCAGAATCACTGTATCTTTAGTAGCTCCACAACAACTCAAATTTTGTCAAACTTTACAGAATGCATTATCAGAAACATTGGGCCTTGAACATACTTTTCAAATTCCTGCTCCCTCCCTAGAGATAGGATCATTCCTACAGACAACCAGTGTTCTCAGCGGCCTATGTGCAGTTTCTGAAGGTGACATCTGGATGAGTGACCAGGGCCAGCATTTCATGTTGTCAGCTGTCATGTCTACTGTTCTTGTGGACTCAATGGCAGGTAATTTGAGCATCCCATAGTCACCTAGTTTTGCTTAATCCTCTACCCTTGAAGGCCAAAGGTCTATATATCTATTTCCTTGGTATTGATGGTTTATTTTTTGAATCCCATTTAGAATAAGTGCCCAGAATAATCATTGTCTTGATGAAAATATCACCTGGTAGAAACTTAGCATAGAAAACCACACACCGAGTTCACTTTACATGTTGGGTCCTTCGTATTTGTACATGCATGTCTGTGTGAACTACCTGATCTCCCTCACCCAACCCAACATTGCCTGGCAGACACCTTCAAGATGCTATGGGAGGTTTTCTTTCTCTAAGGAGCCTTTTCTGGTGTCTCTCTTTGAACCCCATGCAAATATTTACACATCTGCTTGCCCCAAGCCGACACTAAGCCCCTCAAGGTCAAGGACTGAGTCTGATTCTTATATCCCCAATACCCAGGCTAGTGCCTGCCTCTCGATTGGTGCCACATAAATGTTTGTTGCACAAATGCTACCACCTTAAACATAGGCCTCCTCTGGGCAAAGTCCTACCTGTGACTCTACGTGAGCCCTTCCTACAGCTTCTCCACAGTGCTTCCAGAAATCTAGTTGTTTGCTGAGCTTGAGTGACGTTCCCAAGGCCTGCTTTTTGCCTTTGTCTACAGCGGGGATTGTCTCACAATTACAAATTAGTCACCTTCTCATTCTGTCTCTTCTCAGTACACTGTGGCATTCTTTCAGCTGCAGTCTGGAAAAGACAAGGTGAAACTTGCAGGAACCTAAGTCAAAGTGCCAGCTGATTTCTCCCCAGTTTGGTAGACTTTGGTTGTTACCTGGGAGTGTCTGCATGAACCCAGAAGAGAAACAGACACTAGATGTCAGATTCCCACCCCTATAGGCTCTAGTCATCTTCCAAAGGGAACATACAATCCTCAAAGCCAGCATAAATTCTGCTGACTTAATGTGAAAAGTGAGTCTGTGTCTCAGAGCACTCTGAGGCTTGGGGAGCCGTAACAAATCACAGAAATGGTAAGACTTAGCAGCCCACAGATGATGATTGGCAGGTGTGTTTCAGCGTACCAGAAGTGCTCAGGAGAATGCATTTTCCAAAAGACACACAAAGCTTGCTAGTATGTTTTACCACCATGCAGAAATTTTCCACTTGATCAATCTCTCTGCTAGGAGTTTGGTGAAAGCAAGACCCAAGCAGTGATGAGATTGAGTCTATGTGCTAAAATTCAGGGTACCATGTGAATTGTAGCAATGCTATGAGCCACTGCTGGATTGGTTTATAGCAAACAGACAAGTCTTGCAATGTAGAAACCGTTGCAGAATACGTTGAAGGATCTACTCAGCCAGGATCCACTTCTGTCAGATTGTGTCGGCAATGTGGAAGGCTTTTCCAGAGGAAGAGCATCTGATTATGATGCCACGCTGAACTACCTGTGTGTTGTCCATAATATTTTGAATTCAGCATGTCTAATACTGCTCGCTCTTGCCACTTGCCAGCCATGTGAGTTTCCAACAGTCGGACTGTCCTGAGGCTGGTAGGCATTTAACTACAAGACCATGAGTCACTCGATATTTTAGAAGAAGTTTAAAGTAGTAACAGCTTTTATCAAGCCTTGATTAGAGATGGAGGAAACATTGTGGATTAGCTTCAACCTAGGTTAATGTGGACATTGTCCCCTAACGCAGAGGGGGCCAAGAGTAGTTACTACGGGGATTTGAAGTTTAAATTACTGTTACAGTGTAGCCACATTATAGTCAACTAATTCTTAGGGAAACTGAATCCAATCTAACTTACAGTTCTTTCACCCAGGTCTCATGATTCAAGGCACCATTTCTCACAGTTTTAGCCTGACTACCTGCAAGAGAATTACTTGCATGTCTGTTAAAAATGTAGGCTTGGGGGAAACAATGAATAGGTGGAGCGTGGGGCATTTTTAAGGTGGTAGAATTATATTCTGTGATACTGTAATGGTGGGTAGGTGACATTCTGTATCAAAACCAGTAGAGCTATAAGACATAGAGTGAACCCTAATGTGACTTCAGTTAATAATAATGTATTAATATTGGTTCATCAATTGCAACAATGAACCATACTAATACAAAATATTAATAATAGCCCCGGAGCAGTGGCTCACATCTGTAATCCCAACACTTTGGAAGCTGAGGTGGGAAGATGGCTTGAGCCTAGTTCAAGACCAGCCTGAGCAACATGGCAAGACTCCATCTCTACAAAAAGTTTAAAAATTAGGGCATGGTGGCCTGCACCTATAGTCCCAGCTACTCGGGAGGCTGACACAGGAGGATCCCTTGAGCCCAGGACTTTA